CATTTTTTTGAAGGAGTACTCACTAGCATTAGCRGTCAGATCTTTGCTTTTGTGTATCATCTAGCCATTAGCTTCTCATTTGTTTTGAAGGGTTATGAACTAGCTATTAACAGTACAGTTCTTTTTTTAGCTATTATTAAGCCTTTGCTTTTGAGGGGGGACATCTAGCTTTTAGCTGTAAGTTGTTAGCAATTAGCCTCTTTTTGTAGGAATATGAGCTAGTTGTTAGCTGTTATCTTTAACCCCTTTTTTTGGGAAGGGTGTTATCTAGTTGTTAGCCATTAGCTTCTTTGTTTTACAGGTAATCAGTAGGGCTGTGTATTGGCAAGAATTTGACGATACGATACATATCATGACAGAGGGGTCACGATACGATATATCCCGATATACAGTATTGTGATACTATAAGCAAGGCGATATATTGCGATTTTTTTGTCCAAAAATTCTATTAAATAAAAACCTCTTACTGGAAAAAAAAAAACTAAATTCATTGTCTCAGAAAATTCTAATATTACATGGACAAACTTTTGATACATTTAGCTGTGTTCTACTTTGTATGTATTTTATTTTATTTGTTTCATATTTCTTATTTCATCCATGTTTTCAATTATTAGACTAAATTTGACAATAAATAGTTTGAAAATGTATTTTTTGAAGCTTTTAGTTTTTAATGTTAATTTACAAAATGGTCACCCAACACTTAACAATAGCCTCTACCTCAAGAGGTAGCTARTGTTGTGCTATTTTTTAGTTTGTAGCCAGCATTTAGCTACTTTTAGTTTTTAGTAGTTCTAATATATTTAGCTTTAAAGAGGTACAAGACTTTTGCTACTTTGAGCTAGCCTTGGCTACTTTTTGTTTTTAGTTTGACTTTTAGTGCTAGCTCTTAGCTAGGCTAATCGTACTTTTAGCTAGCTTTTTGCTACTTTTAACTTTTTTAGTTCTAATATCTTTAGTTTTAAGGTAGACTTTTGCTACTTTTAGCTAGCCTTGGTTACGRTTTGTTTTTAGCTTGACTTTTAGTGCTATTAGCTCTTAGCTATATTATCTTACTTTTAGCTAGCTTTTTGCTACTTTTAMCTTAGTTGTTCTAATACCRTWASCTTTAAAGAGGTACAAGACCACTTGAATGGTCTTGTACAAATGTCTGGCTCACTGCTGCCAACTAGTGGRCAGAGGCTGAACTACAACATAAAAATGAACGGCTGGCAGGAAAGTTGACATTTTAAACCTTAATAAAAAATCGATACAGGGCTTTAGAATATCGATAAAGTATCGGGAAATGAAATATCGCGATATTTCAGTGTATCGATATTTTCTTACAACCCTAGTTATCAGCTAGCTGTTAGCCTTTACTCTTGTTGTTTTGAAGGGATAGAAAGCTTACCTCACGTTTGTTTTATGTTCTAAAAAGGATTGGGCCACTAACATATTAGGGCTAAATATACAACACAGTGACTGACAGTTGGACCYTCACAACATTACTATACTGAGCTTAAAGGCAATGCAAAGTCAAATATATATTTTTTAGGAAAACGACCAGGAACCTTTTTAAATAAAAACAAATTGTCTTTCTGATAGGGTTTGGGTTGAGATAAAGATGTGCACAGTGTTCTGTTCACCTTCTGGGCCCCAGAGAGGCACTGATGCAAAAAGAAAGGCTGCATGTGAAACTCTTGGTGGTTGCCTCATACTTCTACACCCTGTCTGAAATATATATATATATATATATATATTCCCCCTCCTGTCTCTGTCCTCAGCTCGGAGCAGATGACACGATGTCTTTTACGAGAAGCTGCTTCCCTCTGATAAAATACCCAGCTCCTCTGGGACTCTCCAAAGACTCCACGTGCCTGTCGGATACAGGAAAGTGATGTGTACAAGTGTAAACATTTAATAATAAATATCCTCTCTGTTCATGTTTGCTGACTCAGCCTCACRTGGAGAAACTAACTCGGTCTTTTCTGTAACGCTGCGCAGCAGAGGACGTTATTTTCCTAACGAGGAGCTGAGTGTAACCGGCTCAACAATGAGACACCTCGAAGCGCCGGCTTCTTTTTTAGAAACAGGATATTTGCCAATAAAATCTACTTCCTGTTTGACTTTTGCTGAAAGAAACAAACCCACAATGAAACATCAGCAGCGATCGAACAGGAGCTAAAATAGGCCGACGGCCTGTCGCCACCAGAGCCGGGCGGTTATGTAAGGYCGCGTTCGCTCGTTGCAAAACTCTAAAATGATAAAACAGGTCGTCCTCGGTTTGAAACCGTTGTAATAAGTTTGGACTCAGTTTCCTAAAATGCATCTGTAGTTAATAACGAGTCATCATTAAGCCTGTAAGGGTCCAGATGTACGTAGAGCTCAGCCACGGGCGGAACCAGGTTACACCCAAACATGATGTCATCATGTCAGCCGACCCTGCTCACCAGAGAGTTGTCAAAAAAAAGGTTTGATTTCTTCTGTCCTGCAGGAAGGCAGAGGGTCGCTTAACTCCTGTTAACTCTAGTTGTGACTGCTTCAGCAGGACTGGTTGTGTATGGATTTATCTGTGTGTGTGTGTGTGTGTGTGTGTGTGTGTGTGTGTGTGTGTGTGTGTGTTCAGAGAAACACACCATGCAGACAATCAGTTTGTAGATTGATCCAGAAGAACACGGTCAGTTTTAGTTACTAATGAAACAAAAAAAAGCCTCTTGAGTTGATTCGATCAGGGCTTCTCAAGTCATTTGGGTCTGGGGACCCCTTACAGGGGCAAACAAACTCCAGGGACCCCCTCAAAAACCCCACGTTGTTTTAAAAGATAAGTTACTGTCACTTCAACCCCTAAATGCCATGGAATATCTGTTTTTATTAAGTTTATTATCTTTGTTTTATTAGTTTATTGMTCCCCATGTATTTTTAAAAATAAAAACCAAATTAACAATTTAGTGAAATAMTTTGAGGACCCTCAGGATACCTCTCGCGGACCACTGGGGGTCCTGGGACCCCAGTTTGAGAACCTTATTATTATATTTAAAAAAAATTACAATTATTTTCCACATAAAAAGCACTGAGACCTTTTCCTTTCATTCAAACTTGTTCTTTTTATTATCTGCTTCAGCAAACTGGCTCTCTGTCTTCTGACAGTAGTTTTAGCTAACTGGTTGCTACATTCAACTAGCCTTTGGCACTTTTAGCTTTTATCTACTGCTTCTGGACTTTAAGCTTTTAGTTGTTGTTTTGCTAATTTTAGCTTCTGCTGCTAGTTTTTGCTTTTAGATTCCCTCTTACTACTAACAGCTTCTAACTTTTCAAACGTTTAATTTACTTTTTGCAACTTTTAGCTACTATTCTGCTACCTTTAGCATTCAGCAAGCCTTTTGCTACTTTAAGCTTTACGTTGTTGTTCTGCTACCATTGGCTTTAAGTCAGAGTTTTGTTATATTTAGCAAATTTTAGCTCCTTTTTATTCTTAGTTAATATTTTAGTGCTATTAGCTCTTAGCTTTCCTTACTTTTAGCTTGCATTTTGCAACCTTTAGCTACTGTTCTGCTACTTTTAATTTGTTGACAGCCTTTTTCTACTTTTAGCTTTTAGTTGTTGTTCTGTTAACTTTAGCTTTAAGGCTGATTTTGGCTGCTACTCTTTGCATTTAGCTAGCCTTTTAGTACTGTTAGCTTTTAGCCTTTTTTAATTTTAGCTTGCTTTTTGAAACTTTTAGCTGCTGTTCTGCTTCTTTTAGTTCATATCCAGACTTTTTGTACTTTAAACTTTTAGTTGTTCGGCTACCTTTGGCATTAAGTCAGAGTTTTGCTATTTTTAGCAAACCTTTGCTACCTTCTGTTTTTAGCTAGTCTTTTAATGCTATTAGCTCTTAGCTTTTCTTACTTGCTTGTTTTTTTGCTACCTTTAGCTGTTGTTCTGCTACCTTTAGTTTGTTGCCAGACTTTTTCTACTTTTTGCTTTTAGTTGTTGTTTTACTAACTTTAGCTTTTAAGGCTGATTTTGGCTGCTACTCTGTGCATTTAACTAGCCATTTAGCATTATTAGCTCTCGGCCTTTTTCAATTTTAGTTTGCTTTTTGCAAGTTATGGCTGCTGTTGTGCTATTTTTAGTTTGTAGCCAGCATTTAGCTACTTTTAGCTTTTAGTAGTTCTAATACCTTTAGTTTTAAGATAGAATTTTGCTACTTTGAGCTAGCCTTGGTTACTCTTTGTTTTTAGCTTGACTTTTAGTGTTATTAGCTCTTAGCTATACTGTCTTTCCTTTAACTAGCTTTTTGTTACTTTTAGCTTTGAGCCAGCTTTTTGCAACTTTTAGCTTTTAGTTGTTCTAATATCTTTAGTTTTAAGATAGACTTTTGCTTGCTAGCCTTGGCTACTTTTTGTTTTTAGCTTGGCTGTTAGTGCTATTAGCTCTTAGCTATATTTTCTTACTTTTAGCTAGTTTTTTGCTACTTTTAGCTTAGTTGTTCTAATATCTTTAGCTTTAAAGAGGTACACGATTTTTGCTACTTTGAGCTAGCCTTGGCTACTTTTTGTTTTAGCTTGACTTTTAGTGCTAGCTCTTAGCTAGACTATCGTACTTTTAGCTAGCTTTTTGCTACTTTTAGCTTTTAGTTGTTCTAATATCTTTAGTTTTAAGATAGACTTTGGCTACTTTTTGTTTTTAGCTTGACTTTTAGTGCTATTAGCTCTTAGCTATATTATCTTACTTTTAGCTAGCTTTTTGCRACTTTTATCTTAGTTGTTCTAATACCCTAACCTTTAAAGAGGTACAAGACTTTTGCTACTTTGAGCTAGCTTTTGCTACTTTTTGTTTTCAGCTTGACTTTGCTACTAGCACTTAGCTAGGCTGTCTTACTTTTAGCTAACTTTTTTGCTACATTTAGCTTTGAGCCAGCCTTTTGTTAGCTTTAAGTTGTGAAAGTGTTCTGCTACATACAGCTCCTAACTAAAGTTAGCTGTTTTTAGCTAACCAGAGCAGATGAGAAAGATAACTGGACCTCTCTGCCCTCCCAACAGTTCCTGTGTCTGAAGAACATCAGGACGTTCCTGGCGGCGTGCGGCGACACGTTCGGGATGAAGAAGAGCGAACTGTTCGACGCCTTRGACCTTTTTGACGTGAGGAACTTCGGGAAGGTAAGGAGGCCGCGCGCTCCTCGTCGGCCCTGGTTCTGCAGCGTCTGAGCTGAAAGGCACGACTCAGCAGTTTCACAGCTTCCTGTCGTTAAAGTAAAACCTGGCTGAGCGACTCCACAGGTGTTTTACAGTCAGCTTCATTAAAGCTGGGTTGTTTGCTCGCAGCGCTGCTAACGAGTCACAGGAAGCTTCTCAGAGCTTGAATCAGAGACGAACGTCTGCAGACGCAGTTTGAAACGTGACGTAACTGATCCTTGGAACAGAGAAGCTTCTGGTTTCAGCAGAACGTTCACCGTGAGCTCCGGTGCAGTCAGTGAAGAGGAAACGTAAGCAGGTCCGATGGCGGCAGCGTGACTCACATGTTGAGCTCGTTCTGTCTGAACTTCCTGTTTCTGAAGCCGCAGGTCAGGTGGCGACAGTTCCAGAGAAGCGCTGATGAAAGCCGGCAGCTTGTGAAAGCCTGGCCGTGTCCTCGGGTTGGGAAACCTCTCTGTGCTTCGGCTACAAGCTGAAGCTGTGAGGCCGAGCAGAGCTTCGGCTACAAGCTGAAGCTGTGGGGCTGAACTCAGAGCTTCATTTTTATAAACTGGATCTGGGAACGCTGAGTCAGCATTTAATCAAACCACTTCTTWAGACTTTGTGCTGTTTTAGCTGTTCACTTTGACATTCGGCTCTAAGATTAATACTTTTTAAAATATTTAACTTTAGCTACAAATACATTTATTTACATAAAGTACTTTAAAATCTCAAACAATCTACTTTAGTTTAGTTTTTTCTTATTGTGCCTGTTAACTTTAAGCTATTATTCTGCTACCTCTAGCTTTTAGCTAGACATTTGTGCAACGCTTATAGCTAGCCTTTTGCTACATTTAGCTTTCACTTTGTCTGTTTCAACTTTTAGCCTTTTAGCCTACACTTTTTGCTTTTTTTTTAGCTTTGAGACAACTTTTTTTTGCTCTAGCTTCTTGCTAGTTTTTTGTTTTTTAGCTAGCTTTTTGGCACTTTTATTTAGCCACTTGCTACTTGTTTGCTGCTTTTAGCTAGTCTTTTGCTCAGTTTAGCTTCTAGTGTCTTTTTGATACCTTTAGCTTTTGGCTGCAATTCTGCTACAATTAGCTTTGCCACTTTGTTTTCCTAACTCTCTGTTTTTTTAGCTTTAAGCTACTTTTATTTAGCATTTTGCTACTTTTAGTGTTTAGGTAACTATCAGCTTGATCTGGTTTTATGATTGTATTTTAACTAATGTTCTATCATTTGGCTGATTTTAGCATTTAGCTGCTATTTTGTTGGATTTAGTATTTTTAGAGTTTTGGCTTTGTTCTGATTGTTTGAAATAAAATCTTTTATAGTTTTAGCTGTGATTAATTTGTGTTCCTTGTTAAATCTGACATCTTCCTCCTCCTCTTCCTCCTCCTCCTCTTCCTCCTCCTCTTCCTCCTCCTCTTCCTCCTCCTCTTCCTCCTCCTCTTCCTCCGGGACGTCTGACTTGGCTGCAGTCGAGCACTTTGATGATTTAAAGTCGACACGTGGCCTCTGGTGAATCTAACATGCTGGAATCTGGCCGCAAGGCTGTTAGCATGCTGCGGTCGAATGCTTCTGCTGAGGCTAACGGTGCGAAGAGGAGAGGAGTGGAGAGGAGGAGAGAGGAGAGGAGAGGAGGAGAGGAGAGGAGGAGAGAGGAGTGGAGAGGAGGAGAGGAGAGGAGCTGTTCCTGTTTATTTTAAAGTTCTGGTCAACAGTCGACTCTTCGTCATGTTTAGCAGCTCGTCAGGAGGAGAAGATATTAAAAACAATTAGACTCAAAAACTGTTAAAGTAGTGATGATGTCATCAACATGTCTGATCCGTGTTGATTCAAACTGTGGCTGCAGTGTGTCTGTGTGTGTGTCTGTGTGTGTCTGTGTGTGTCTGTGTGTCTGTATGTCTGTATGTGTGTCTGTGTGTGTGTGTGTGTGTGTGTGTGTGTGTCTGTGTGTCTGTGTGTCTGTATGTGTGTCTGTGTGTGTGTGTGTGTGTGTGTGTGTGTGTCTGTGTGTCTGTGTGTCTGTATGTGTGTCTGTGTGTGTGTGTGTGTGTGTGTGTGTGTGTCTGTGTGTCTGTGTGTCTGTATGTGTGTCTGTGTGTGTGTGTGTGTGTGTGTGTGTGTGTC